CCCCAGGGCTCGATTCTGCGGTGGCGGCAGTCAGGCCTCCGAAGTGGGGGTTTACCCGCCCCCACTTGGCAGCCTTACCCCCCGTAGATCACTCAGAGGTGAAACAGCTTATCAATACCCTGAAGCCTGGTAAAGCACCTGGTCTTGATTTAATTCTCTCAGAGCTGATTAAAAAGAATGCAGAATGGTGGGTTCCGATTTTCGCATCCCTATTTACACTAATTGATCAAACAGGGAGAATACCTAAGGACTGGAGAGTAGCAATCATCAGCCCATTTTACAAAAAAGGCAATAAAGAAGACCCAAACAACTACAGGCCAATTAGTCTGTTAAGCATAGTGAGTAAATTGTATGTGAGACATCTCCTATGGAAATTCAGGGAATGGTTGGAAAACAACTCTTGTCTGGCAGATGAGCTGGCCTGCTTTAGAGAGGGGTGTGCTACCTTAGATCAATGTATGATATTGGACCATCTGATTGCTAAATATTCCTCCAACTCAAATGTGTCTCTTTTTGCTGTCTTTTTGGACCTAAAATCAGCTTTTGACAGTCTCTAGAACTATTCTATGGGACAAATTAAGAGCTTCAAGTATTGATAGAAGGTTACTATTTCTTATTCAGGCCCTTCATGACAACACATTCATAAGGGTTAGGTACTCCCCCCAGGGTCACCTGACAAATCCTATTAAAGTTGAGAAAGGAGTTAAACAAGGTTGCCTTTTGGCACCACTTCTCTTTAACTTTTATATCAATTATGTGGTAGCCTATTTAAGCAGGCCTGAGTTCCATCCTCCAAAGCTAGGCAACAGACACATAGGGGTGTTCTTATATGCAGACGATGCTGTCCTACTTGCAAGGACCCCCATTGGTCTCAGGAGAGCCGTGAGTTCTTTTGCCCAATATTGCCACAATAACAACTTAGAGGTCAACTATTCAAAAACTAAAGTAATGGCCTTTACTAAAAGATCCCCCAAAACTTTTCATTGGCACTTAAATTCGGTTCCCATTGAACAAGTCACCTGTTTCAAATATCTGGGAGTTAACTTCCAGGCAAA